TAACCTTTCATTAATCATGAATTTATATAACTTCCATCCAGGGGACAGGTACTACAGCTAGTAACATAATATTGTTATTCAATGTATTGTAGGTATAAAATGAAATATATATATATACAATAAAACTGTAAAAATGTTTGTTGATTTCTTAATTTAGAGTCTTAAAAACGTTGGTGATATAACAGAAAATACCTTAATTCAGAAACGATTTAAGTTTAAAATTGAATCGAAATTTTTACTTTCATGATAAATTTTTTGCACTTGGCTCTAGACTAGGTGATCCCACACTACGTCTTTACTTTAGGCTTATTTAACCAACACTTACTACACTTATAAGGTTTCACGGCACCCATCCCCATCACGCCTCCTTGCATTTCCGTCACTAAAATCGTAATGAACAGACAGTAATCGAACTATCCTATCTGGATAAATGCATTTTGGCTTTTATGACTCCTCCTATTACGAGAAATCAAGCGTGACATGACACACACTGGCTTTTACATAGGTTAGCTATGAACACATTATTTTACCAATTCGATTATAAAATACATGAAAAATCACTCTTTGAAAATTGAGAATCTTATGTAAAGTGGTGGTGCTCCACAATCTCCTCCTGGTGGGTTTTAATTATATGAAAAAGTTCAAGTCGTTTGAAAATGAAGTGTTTAATCAAATAAAAGGAGTATTCAAATATCTGTAACTTTCTAATGCGTTGCTCAAAGTTGTTATAGTTTACTCAATCAAAACCTAACCAGGAAAGAAGATATTGTGTTCATTTTACAAGATTTCATATAAATAATTACAATTGTAACTTGTTAAAAACCAATTAAAAAAGTAAGAGTCAGTGTACTTCGGATTTACTTACTGATATACAAATTATAATATTAGTTTACTGTAGTGTTAGTAAACAGTGACTCGATTATCAGTTCAAGGTATAATAACGAACATTAAACGTGGTTAAGAAATATTGTCTTAATTTCCGTTGTTTTATTACAACCGTAACACATAGGACATCATTTAAAATATTTTTAAATCGATAAATTTAAAATTATCAAATTATATTATTTGTGCCAAGCGCATACAGACGAAAATTCAGGATTATATAACGATTACGAAAAAACATAAAAAGTTAAACCGAGTTTGTAAAATTGAAATTCTAGGTAAATTCTCGTACTATCACTCACTATTATAACGTTTAGCCAAAGCAAATCAAAATAAAATTTATCAAATAAAATCAATCATCCTTCGCGTCAGTAACAAATACACAAAACAAGATGATTTAAATTATATCACTTGTAAAGAAAGAGTAAAAAATTTAAATTTGGGAAGAAAATGTCTGCTCCACTAATTCCCTAAAGCGTTGGAGATATACCATTTATCAGACATAATCCAAACATGCAGATTAGAAACAAAACAGCTAGCAAAGAAATAAATAGGGTCTAGGTGTTGTTTGCTATAACCCATAATATTCCAAAAATACCAGCCGGTTGTTGGTATGGATGTTACCTTTAAAAACACTAACATTACAACTAGCATCATAGTGGAAACTGTTCTCAGTAAAAACACTCTTAATTTCTACGTTTGTAAGTTAATAAGTAGATAGATCGGAGCAATAATGTAGTTATACAAGACAAAACTATAATGTTTGACAATTATCTACAGAATAGTAATACAGAACCATTTAGCTAACTCCTACTCCAACTCAGCTAAGTAATACAGAAGCATTTAGCTAACTCCTACTCTAACTTAGCTAAGTAATACAGAATCATTTAGCTAACTCCTACTTCAACTTAGCTAAGTAATACAGAAGCATTTAGCTAACTCCTACTCCAACTCAGCTAAGTAATACAGAAGCATTTAGCTAACTCCTACTCTAACTTAGCTAAGTAATACAGAATCATTTAGCTAACTCCTACTCCAACTTAGCTAAGTAATACAGAATCATTTAACTAACTCCTACTCCAACTCAGCTAAGTAATACAGAATCATTTAGCTAACTCCTACTCCAACTTAGCTAAGTAATATAGAATCATTTAGCTAACTCCTACTACAACTTAGCTAAGTAATATAGAATCATTTAGCTAACTCCTACTTTCAACTTAGCTAAGTAATATAGAATCATTTAGCTAACTCCTACTTTAACTTAGCTAAGTAATATAGAATCATTTAGCTAACTCCTACTCCAACTTAGCTTTACAAGATAAAAGCAGGACGTTTGTTTATCGTTTTCTCGAACTTAGCTGCACAAAAGAAAAGCAGTAGATTCGATATCGCTTGCTCTAAATTAGTCAAACAAAAATGTAACAGAATATATTGCTATCACCTCCTACAGTTTAACTATATAAACACACGAAACAGATTCTATTATCGTCTGTTTCAAGTTAGAAACATAATACAGAACTAGTAGTTTTGGCTATCTTTTTCTGATATAGTTCTACAGGAACACAATGTGTGTGTGTACTTATGCACACATGCAGATGTACAAATACACTTTTAGAAAAGTTAACATAACTATTAATTCGAAATCTATCTAGATCTTAAACTATGTAATTATTAATCGTTTGGAATGCTTACCAAAAAAACTCATCCCAGTCTTCGGCATCGTTGGTCTTGCCAGATTATTCTGTCTCGCACTGATTCTCAGGAAAATTGTTTGTTTGTTTCCTCAGTTTTTACCAAGTAATATTTTCAGTAGTTTATTGGGAGAATCATGTGGCCGTCACGTTTCCTTGTGATCTGTGTTCACAAGTATAGATATCATTATATCGCACCAATCTACTTGAGTTTAGAAAAGTTTTGAAATATGTACTCTTGACTGGAGACTTCATACGATACTTCAATATGAAGGGGTATTTAATATATTAAATTGTTTGATGTTGTTTTTTTTAAAAGGCGTTACTCAGTTCGAGCATGCGTGACTTTTTTTTAAAGACTGATGATACCTTAAATTTTGGTAAAAAAAACAAACTAGAGCCCTGAAAGATGCGAGTTCGTGGGCTAAAATTGAAGATGCCCACACGTTTAGCGTACGTAGTCAGAGTAGCGTTCTCTCGCTTCCGTTGATCAGCTGACAATTCAACCGTGCGAGCAAGATCTTGTCTCTTTGACCAGAATATGTTCAGAGCGCCACCTGTGAGTCAGGAGTAATATGATAAATGACACCAGACAAAAAAAATCATTTCAAAACGAAAATAGATTAAATCGAAACTTTTTATGTAGTTTAATATAAATACTCATAATAGGAGATAAAAAAACATGGAAGAAAAACTTAATAAGATGCAACCATATCACGTGTTATCACAATAACTTTTAAAAACACGTAGAATAAAAAAAAGTTTAGAAAATCAAATTAAAAACATTATAAAGGAATCCGTCTTCTCCTGTATCCTCCTGTCGATGGCGTTTCAGTTGTTTTTTAATATATGTATTTTATCACAAGATTACAACATTACATTAATAATCTAACCTTTTCCTGTACAATAATGTTTATTTTATTATCATCACCTAGAGAATGCACCAAGACGTGTACAAACGAACAATGCGTTACATACGTAGAATACCAAGTGCTGTAAAAATCATGCATTACGAAACAACGGTAACGCAACATAGATAAAACCAAAATAATATTTACAGATATTGTATATATTCTTATAAGCTATATATTTTTAACGTTGTAATTTAAATGTTAGCTAGAGGGAACTCTGGGTCTTAATAATAACTTTAGATCAGAAGATTTAAGAAGCTAGGCTTAGAACATCTAGAAATTCTAAAGATGTGACGTAAGTGTTCAAGCACAATCAAATTTAGATTGCCCCCTAGTAGCACGTGGCACAGCGGTAAGTCAGTGGACTTATATGCTAAAATCCGAGTTTAGATAGCCCTAGTAGACACAGCACAGATAGCCTATTATTTAACTTTGCGCTTAACTACAAACAAACAAAGCTAAATTATAAATACGAGAGAGTTGTGGAATTCAGAGAATGAACCAGTCAGCGTGTTAGTTAAGTTGATTTCTTGTTACAGTAATTTGCGGCAGTGTACAGGTATTCAAGTTTGTAGAAATATCAAATGAGAAAATAAAGTAATTTATTATCGTTATATGGACTAGACGTTGAATTATTTTCACTAGATAACTTAAAAGAACCCGCCAGCGAAAGAACAACGTCATACGAGTATGATCTATAATAAAAACGACTAAGACGGCAGTGATAAGAATATTGTTACGACAGCGGAATTCACGTGACGCTGGTAACAAGTAATGAGTATCTAGAAGGTTCGTGAAGGCCAGACGCCCTCTATTTTGTATATATAAGACCGGCAAGAAGTGACAAGAGAAGAATTGCAGAAAGAGAGATAGAGACAGATAATTGAATCAAGTGAGCGGTAGTGACCGTAATTAAAGTGCATGAACCATTGTGAATTATAGCGTGTGACAGTGGAAATTCTGTGTATTCAAAAGTTGTATTGAGAAAGAATAAACTA